ACCCAAGTAAATATTCCCCTATGACCTACTGTCACTCAAAAATTACTTCTGGGGCATCGACTAGGTGCCAGATACAGGAATAATGCTGAGATTCAGCAGTGAACGAGAGGCAAGAATTTCTGCATCTGGGAGTTTCCATCCTAGTGGGGGAGCTTCTCAGTAAATAAGGGAATTCCGAAGATACAGAGCATGTTCAGTACAAATGCCAAGGAGGAAAATTAATCAGAGAAGGAGGGCCCTAATGGAGGTCTCTAAGTGTTAGATTTAGGGGTGAATTTCATATGAGGTGGGTAGGGTAGTGCTTTCTTAGTCCATACTTGAGTAAGGTCTTGAAAGAACAAGAAAGGCCTGCAAAGATCCAGAGCATAACATTGTAGAGTTAAATTCCAGCAAGCACAAAAGCATGAGATAACCTGGTTGACAAGCTCAAGAAGTAAAATCACTGTGGCCAGAGCACAGGAAGAGAGAAGAATGGCATGATGAAAGGTCAGGGGTGTGTCTGGAATCAGAAGGCAAGACAGTGGTGGGTTATACAGGATTCTATAGTCTTGGGCTTTTTCCCTGGAAGAGAGGGGGAGCACCACTACAGGGTTTTGATTTGGGAAAAGATCTCTCCAGCTGCTATTCCCAGAAGAGACTGGAGTGGGCTGAGAAAGAAGGCTACTTCCATCATGTAGGAGAGGGGAATGAGAGGAGTGAGCCAGAATAGAAGTAAATGGAAAGAAGAGGTCAACCACCTTTAGATTTACTGAAGCAGGGAGGGAACAGAGGTGAAGAACAGAAGAGTTAAGGCTGATTCCAAGCTCACTGCCCTGAACAACTCGAAGATGCTGTCTCTAAGTTGGAGAAGTCTACAAAAGAGTAAAACTGGGGGAGTGGAGGAACAGCAAGAAATCTGATATAAACTTGTTAAATGTTAGACATAGTTTAAGACACCCAAGTAGGATGTCAGATAGGCAATTGGATAGAAGATGGAAGTTCAGATCAAACTCAAGGCTAAGGACAAATGACTTAGGTATCAATAACACAACATGGACAGAAAAGAGAAACAGTCCAAAGACAGCCTGAGACATGAATCAGAAGAATCAACAACGGATGCCCAGAGTGAGCACCCAGAGGCAGGGAGAAGATGGGAGGAGGTAGGCACCTTGCAGAGCGAAGAAACTTTTCAGGGAGCTTTTTCAGAGGTTGAGAGTAGGACAAAGAATAAGCACTGACCTTCAGATTAGCCACAAGGTCACCCGTGACCTTGGAACTGGTCTTTGTGGAATAAGAGGGGCAAATACCTGAACAGATCAGTTTTTAGAAACTGAGGATAGTGACTAGATATTAATGGGTGCTCTAATGAATAAGGATGGAGAAATGAGACACTAGGTGAAAAGAGAGATTTTTGTCTCTAAGGTAGAAAAAATAGAATCCTATTGGTAAGATGACTGAATCCTGTAAAGGGAGTGTTGATTTGGGAATTGTTAGGGAATTGGGAAGAGTTGTTGGAGCCATGTGGGCTGGGAGGAAAGGTAGAAGTGCTTTCCTGTAACACATCTGAGTACTGCCACTGTCTTGTGGGGGATGGGGAGAGGGTGGTTGTTTCTATACTTTGTTTTGCCCTGGGTAAAACAGGAAGCGAGAGGGTCAGCGGGGAATAAGTACTGATGGTGTAATGATGAATGTATTGATAACAAGACAGGAAATATTCAACTAAAGGGAATAGACTGGATAGACACAGATCGTTAGGATATGAATTGAGGCATTATGAACCTGCTGGAAGTCTCTGGTGCATGGAAGTCTCCATGATCATACAGCCATATTCAACCAGACATGTATAGAAAGGGTCACAGTGAATATAAAAGGGGGGTATGTGGGAGTTAGGAGGTTATGTGTAAAGGAGTGATCACCCTGGAAAGCCTTAGTGTGTAATCTGGAACAAGTTGGAAATGAAGACAGAAAAGAGTGGTTCCACAGAGGCCAAAAGGAATTCCAGGAAGAAGAGAAGGTGGTGGAAGGGTGGGATGTTAAAGATGGCCATGGGAAAGCAATGGAGGGGTATCAGGACGGAGTGGATGTAATGGAGTAAAGACCACATTCACTGGAGGTGGAAAGGCCTCAGAACTTCAATCTAGAGTCCTAGAAGTTCCAAGGGTGATGCTGATGAGTCATGTGACAGAAGCCTGCACCACAGGACAGCGGCAGTGACTCGCTGCCAGCAGATGACCACGGGGTGGGGTGGGGGGGGACAGTTCCATCTGATGGGGGCCGGCCATGCCTCTTATTATGTTTTTCAATCATTTGACTTTAATGAGGCGGAATTTTTCCTGTATGACTCACTGGCCACTTACAACCCTCTTTTTGAACTGTCTTTGGGGTTCCTTTCTTGATAATTCTCTGATACATACAAATTCTGCTCACTCCATCTTAAAAAAAAAAAAACTACTTCCAAAGGCTACCCTGTCCATACTACCCCATTTCTAGATCATTCCAGCAGCTTCCACACAGCTGTTCTCCTCACTTCACAGAGAAGCCACACAGCAGCCGGTAGCTGCTGAAGCTGACATGACATCATGCCTCTGTTCAATACTATCCAAGGGCCCAGAGCTTACACAGAGCAGAAGCCCTGAGCTTCCTCCAGAATCTCTACTCCCACCCCACAGTAGCCCTCAGATCCTTCTACCACACCACCATCGGCAGTTTGATCCTGGCCACACTGCCATCTTTACTTTCCAGGCAGGTATGTGTCACATACTCTACCGCACGGAACATTTTAACTCGTCCCTTCTCTTTAGGCTGTTCTTCCAAGGGAATCTTACATGGGTAGCTACTTCTCCTAAGGTCTCTGCCTACAAATGTCATCTTTGCAGAGAATACTTCACTGATCATTTAACTAATTTCCACTTTTCCAAATGACCCTCTATTCCCTCTTCTCAGGTATTACTTTTGGCAACTACAAATGTATACTTCTTCATTTACTCTGTGTCCCTTCTATAAAAAATAGGTCCCACAGGATCTTGGACTTCTGAGTTGTTGACTGTTATATTTCCAACAGAATAGACACTGGGGAAATAGTTGAGTGAATGGCTCTATGCATGAATGAATTCTGCTAGCAAGCTTAGCATTAATTATTCATTAGGATTAAATTTACTCTATTGATTCAAAATGTCCAATGTACAGAAAAACCAAATGACTCAGCCCTATATTATCCCAAAAGACACTCCACTCTAACAACAATAAAAAGAATCAGGTCCTTCTCTAGGAGTCATAAATTCTTTCACTTTTATACCAACTCAAGGTCCTTGTTTCATAATGAGTCTCAGGCCCTAGCTATAAAAAGATGGAGGAAAAAAAACAAAACCCTCCACTTATTTCACATAATAGTTTAAATAAGAAAGCAACACCTTCACAAAATAGAAGTGTGAGTACCAGTCATACCTACTACAGAGACAGACCTGCAAACAGCACATCAGGATGCTACGACCAAACATCCTCATGGCCACAAGTGGAGAGATCCAGTGCCTGTGACCAAAGACTGCACCACTATCCAGTGGCTTTTCCCAGGGTGGCCCACAAGACTCTCACAAGCTCACCTTGCCTACAGCCCACCAGCCAGTTTAACTCCCCCCAGCTTAACTCCCTGGCCTCCCTGTAAGTGTTGGGTTACACCAAGGGCCTTTGGACCCACAGTCCTTTGCCTGAAGGCTGCTTTCTCCTCCACCTAACCCTACAGCTCTGCCCGGAGAATTGCTGTCTGAAAGTCTGTCTTTTTCCATTCAGACACAGGAGTCCTTGCTATGTGCTCTCAGCAATCTTGTCTCCTCTCCCCCACCCCCCATTGCTGTCCAGGTAACTTAGCACATTCACTACTCTTCTGAGAAGCCTTGAATTCATAGATTGGGGCTTTCAGGTGTGTCTTTAGTATCCAGGACCCATACGCAGCACAGCAAGAACTTGATTGGTGATGGGTGATGACTACAAATAGGAACTGGGTAAAGAGTACCATCTATTGAAAAGGAACACTAGAAACTTCACAGCAGGGAAAACTGAGACACCATCTAACCTAGTGATCAAAGTCAGTATTACCAGTAATAAGTTAGAATCATGAGATCTTATGATAAATACAGTGGGATGAGAGACTTATTGCATCTCTCAAAATTCTGTAACATCCATAAAAAGAAAGACAAATTCCAATCAAGGGGGCTAGACGAGGAGTAAATGGTTATGGAATAAAAATGTGAGATTCCATCCCAGGACACCTGCCCTCCCCAAGGAAAAGACATCAGTGGAACAACTAATGTAATCTCATTAATTAATCTAATTAGAAACTGCAGTTCATAGTGTGTCTATGTTTAATTTCTCAATTATGGCAAGTATATTATGAGGTTAACAATATTGGGAGCTGGGCTAAGGACATACAAGAATTCTAATTCTGCACTACAGGAACCACAATTTTAACATTCTTATAAAGGTAGTTAAAAGAAGAATTTGTTCCAGTACTGGGACTTGAACTCAGGGCCTGTGAGCTGTCCCTTAGTTTTTTTACTCAAAGCTGGTACTCTGCCTCTTAAGAGTCTCTCAGATTTATCTGCCTAAAGGCAGGCTTTAAGTCACAATCCTTAGATCTCAGTCTTTTGTATAGCTAAGATTCCAGGTATGAGCCACTGATGCCTGGCAGGCTATCTAAAAATTGAAAGTTCTGTCCAAGTCACTCACTTCATTATTCCTAAGGAGGTAAGCTGCTAGTTTCCTGTAATTTTTCATAATTTCTTAATAATTTTATCTTTGGTATTTTTCATTAACTGAATTTCCCTGTAACTATCATATGAGCCAAATATTCAGGTAAATGCTTCTCTCCTTGGGGAAAATATTTTGCTTTTTTCACAATAGTCTATACATTAAGACTGATCTTCCTATGTTGACATACTGTGTACATGCAAGACTATGCCGTGTGTAGATTTTTTGAAAGTATTTTTTGGAAAATAAAGAAATCCAGGTAAAGAGAGATAAAAATATTTAATTGTTGAAATACATTGATAAATTGGGTAATTCACATTGCAGCAGGAATATACATTAGCATTAGCAAATTAAGAACTTTCTAGATTCTTCACTAACCTTCGATCTTAAGTCGCAGAAAATAGCACAGAATTAGCACAGTAAGATGCCAGGACTACATTAATGGTACAATGGGAGACTCTCTCACTAGACAAGTGTTTAGAGTAATATAAGCTTTTGACTAAAAAGGGCTTTAGTCAACATGTGTATTTGGCATGCAGATTTAACCATCTATCATTAAATATTGCACTGTGATACATTGTTTCTAATCAAGGAGATTAAATAGAATTTGGAAACCAAATAGTAAAAACTGGGGAGTGACAGTAATAAGAATCCATTTCCCAATTTAACAGCTAAAAATTAATACAAAGTAGAAATAGTGAAAGATAAGCGATAAATATATTACTTTAGGTAATTCATTCATAGTGCTCTATTATCTTAAGTTATAAACAGAATAAGGATTTCTGTCATATAAAAATTATCAAAAAAGTCTCACATGACTCTGTGGAGTGTTGTGTGACCAGGATGTAAAATGCTATGGAACCAGAAACTCAGGTGGCAACAACAGACCTCAGGAGCGTTTTAGCTCATCTTCTCCAAGTGGGATGCAGAAAAGCTCCAGACCAGCACACTGTCTAATCCATTCCCTGACCACAACATTCAACCTGTACTCACAGCTTTAACTATGCACTTAAGACTAGGGGAGAGGGACATGGTGACAACTGTTTAGAATTTCCTGTGCAACATTTCAGTGTCCCCAGTGCTGGATACCTTCCAATTGATGAGCAAGCTATGAAGAGAACAAACAGAAAAGAGCAGAATTAACACACTTGATGAAATACAACTTAGATTAAAATATATATATATATATATATCAGCTATAAGCCTATAAATTATTTACTGATTGTCTTTTAAGTAAAGATTTCAACGTCCACCCAATATGCAGCTGAAATTTCAACATTTACTTGAAATGGAGTCAGTACAGTACTGTTGTACAAAGAGATTTTGCAGCCTGAGAAACAGCCACCCCTAGCTACATGCATATCGATATCACCAAACTAAAAATTGCATGCTGCTGAGCCACAACTCCATGCCTTTTCTAGATGGGAGCTCTGTGCAGATTGAGCCACCCTCATTATGTGGAAATGATGAGGGCTTGTCTATCTATGGACATCTGAGAACTCTCATATCAGCTCTGTGGCTCAAGTATTCCACCCCTGGCCATACCTGTCATCCCAGAGCCACCCATAGAAGAACCAACTTATTTGTTTCATGATATAAGTCATGTCATCGCTTGAGTGGCAGAGTACCCACCTTGCAAATACAAGGACTTGGAGTTCAAGCCCCAGTACCATTAAAATAATAATAATAGGGGCTGGGAAGGTAGCTCAGTGGTAGAGTGCTTGCCTTGCATGCCTGAGGCCCTGGGTTCAATTCCTCAGCACCACATAAGCAAAAAGAAAAAAGCTG